TGTGTGTGTGTGTGTGTGTGTGTGTGTGTGTGTGTGTGTGTGTGTGTGTGTGGTGTGTGTGTGTGTGTGTGTGTGTGTGTGTGGGTGTGGTGTGTGTGTGTGGTGTGTGGTGTGTGGTGTGTGTGTGTGTGTGTGTGTGTGTGTGTGTGTGTGTGTGTGTGTGTGTGTGTGTGTGTGTGTGTGTGTGTGTGAACCTCCCTAGCACATGGGAGCAGAGGGTCACTCCTACACTGTTTGCAATTTCGCTTTTCAACATAATCCGACATTGGACATTTACCAAATCAACTGTTGCAGGGGGATCAGGCTTCCAGTGACTGACCTGATCCAACGAAGCTAGGTCACTGGAAGGGAAGTGATTGAGGACGCTCAGTCATGTACCTGCACAATTTTCGGCAGCCCCCTGTGGTGCCAAGATTAGTCTGAGGACAGGCCCCCTGTGGTGTCCAGATTAGACAAACAATTTGTACGGTTGCCGCAATCTGACAAACAGTTGCAACATGAACAACATTCCTCTTTTTGTCCTTTGCACTCGTACTCTTGGCCGAATCCATCAGTGTGATCAGCGTGGGTCGTTGAGACTCCAGAGCAACGGCTTTCCGTCATGGCGCCGTGGTGACCCTCCGGGGAGACCGGTGATGAACCGGGTGTTCAGCCTTCGTTCAGATCGTTCAGATTCTCCCGATGCTATTTTATCTCTCTCTCTCTGATGCTCGCATGTGCGTCTGACATGAGTGCAGGTGCAGTAATGGACGGCTAATGCAGTAAAGTGCGTCTAATGAGCAGGTGCTACCTCGCTAGTCTGTCCTCTATTCGACCGCTTCTTTATTTCTCAGGGACTGCAAGGGCATGTGCAACTGACATGAGGGCAGGCGTGGTAACATGTGTCTAACGCAAGTGAAGCAGCGCTTCCTCCGGGAAGTAATCGGCCTTCTTCTTTCTTTATCTCCGTCTTCGACATCTCAAGTCCGTCCAGCAGGGACAACCAGGACAGCCTGCACTTTGCTTGTGCAACTGTGTTTGTTTCACCAACTTCGTTGCAGCTATGTGGCCGGATTATTTTACCACGCAGCCACCAGCAACACCATACGCACCAACAACCCGACCGGTGCTCAATCAGTTTCACCCGAACACCTGGGTACCGCAGTCACAAGGATACCCAGCAATGATGCCAACTGGCATTGCTGCCACTCAGCAGCACACACTGCCGACGCAACCCACTACGATCCCCGTTGAGCAGACACACAGCTTCCCCATGATGCCATGTGGACACACTGCTCCTATACCACAGCATCCGATGGTATACACACAACTCAGCACACCACAGCCCCAGATGCCACAACAACCTCCACCCCAGCAATTCATGTCGCAACATCCCCCCACTTTCTTGAACCCTGGTCCTTTGCCTACCCATACAACAGTTTTTCCCACGAGCCCATCACCTCTGACACCGCATCACTCCCAGCCTGCCACATACAACATTCCTTTCACACCACCTGCTCCACAACCCCAACCTGCACCTTGCAGCATCCCTTCCACACAACCCGCTCAACAATCCCATATACCGCAGCCAACGACCCTCCAACAAGCTTCACAATCTCACCCCACCAATGTTACCACTACCGATGCTGCACACATTGCCCCACAGACACCGGCAATCACCCCCCAACCCCAGCCAATAAGCACAGCCAACACACCCTCTGTCAGCACATTACCACCCACACAACCACCACCCGCTACGGGATCGGGAGACACTGACCCGCTCGCAGCACGTGCTTCTTCCCACCATCCTCCGTTGCCACGCAGGAGACGGCGCTCACCCACACGCAGCAGAACCCGCACCGTGAGCACTAGACGCCGACGACGCACACGCAGCAGAGCACGACCTGCCAGCAGCGGGAGACAGCACCGCCGACGCAGACACCACCGATCCCGCGACACCCGCAGAAGTCGTTCTCGCAGGGACACCAGGCGATCTTCGTCGACACCTCCGCGGACCTCGGTTGTGCTCCGCAGCTATTCTACAGTGCGTGATGTTGATACCAACAAGTGGCATTACAGAGCCACACAGCTACGTCAGAGGCCACCCACCCCACCCAAGGTCCCACAAAGGACATTGGCCTCGCAGGTTCAACGAATCGCCCTCCGCATCAAGGGCAGCCAAGCAGCACAACAGCAGCCCCCAGCCGGACAGGGCACCTCCTCCCGCCAACAGGCTCAGCACAATCCCTCCAGCTCCGTTCGGACACCTGCCCCGACCTACGATGCATCAACAGCCGTTGCCCCATCGGGTCAGCCAACCCTCGAACAACTGGGCAAACAGAGCAGACCACCACAGATTGATGTGGCGCCATTTTCTGAGCTTTACGAACATGAGAAGCCGACCCCTCACGCCGTCGACATGGAAGAAGCACACAAACTCGCCAAAACTTTGGGCGAGATAGCTGCTGACAGCGATTTCAGGCAGGAGACTTTAGCCGAATTTGCACATGCAGTGCTACAATCAGGCACGCGATCAGCGTGCAACGAACTTGGGGCAGTGCTGACGCCAATATCGGACGGCGTGCATACTATGTTATTCATTCCTTGGGCTGGAGAGCAGCGCAGAGCGTTCGGCACCCGTGCCACTGACCCACCAGGAGAGACATACATCTACACCGCCGGACACGGCACGAGCATTGCAAGTGCCGCGCGCATTATGCGCGAGGACTTGGTCCGCCCAAGTTCAGTCAGACACTGCTTCGACGACAAGTCCTACCCACCCATTCCCTCTTGCGTCATATACGGGAATGCGACCCCAGGAGATGTATCGGAAAGCACGGTACATATAGTAACCGATCAATGTACACGGCGGCCGAAGGGCCAACAGGGAGTGATCGTCATCGGGACAATACGGACTAAGTATCAGCATTACAAGATGACGTATCGGGACATGTATAGAGAGGCCTTCATCGTGGGGCGAAAGGGTGTTGCGCGGACCCCAGAGAAGTGGGGATTCCACTCGGGGCATTTCAGCATCGTTGGATTCGGCCTTATTCAGTGATGTTCTGTATTACTTTCTTTCTTCTTCCGTTTCTACCTTTCACTCTCGAGTATCCTTTCTCTTCCAGGCCTGAATCCCGTTGCACATAGCTGTATGCAATCAAGCATTTGCTCCGACCCCGCTTTTGAGCCAAAGAAGAGACGATGCAGCTGCATGCTGGATGCATTGCACAAGTAGATGCTGACACTCAAGCCAACTATGTTGTCCATGCACGTGCTATTTGCAGCTTTTGCAGTCACAGGCAATTGTAGTGCCCCATTTTGCAACCATGTACAAGCCGACACAGCCTCAGTGGCATACAACAATGCCAACAGGCATCATCGGTACAGCAATCAGTGCGGTGCAGCGACAAACAGCCTCAACCAGCAGCACCCCAATGCACCCGATTTCCCCACCACCAGGGATCCACAACATCCCACCCCACACTCCACCCAAGACCCCAACTACTTGGGGTTCAGCTCACCCTTACAGCCACAACACCACTTTCCCCCCTTTCCCTCCACCCCCTCCCCCACCCCAGCAGTTTACCGTCCCAGCTTCACCCACCACACTGCCAACACCCACACCTGCCACTCCCCAACACACATTTGTGAGTCCATCTCCGATGACGACTCAAAATTTCTTCACATACATTGCCTCAGGCCACCGTCACACCCCAACAACAACAACACACCAATCTCACGCCTGCAAATCCCCAGATACCAAACGACTTCGTTCAAACACCAGAGCATTGGGACAACAGACAGCTTTATGGCCTCAACCTACCCAAACACATTCAATCTACACCACATTCAGTGCACAACCGCACGGCAGGCATGCCGATCGCAACAGCACCATTGGTCGCATTTCTAAGACACAATTGGTCATCATACTGGCTACGTTACGCCGCACACGGCTTCGACATCCATCTCACATGCAGCAAACATATCAGCGAAGCCGTCTTTACCACTGAACTTATGGGTCAACTCCGAGCACGGAGAATTGATCTGGACCAAGCAGCCACCGCATTCTGCTGGCAAGAGAAGCTCACACTCGCAAAACGGCCAGCAATGTCACACCTCATCAAGGAATTGGTGTTATACCTGCAAGAGCTGCAGGACCAGTACAATGACGGCAACAAAAAGGACAAGCAAGATGCCAAGTCAGACACATACAACACACAATCGCAACCCACCGAATCTCCAACACCACCACAATCCAGCAAATCACAACCTCTTATTTATCCATGTCGAACGTTCGCGAGGCGGGGAACACCCGAGCGGAAAGGGCGAAGCCCATAAAGCACAACAGAGAAAGACAGTCCTTCGTTTTACTCGAAAGGGCTAAGGGGTTCGGTTGAAACTGTCAGCATGTGAACCGATGTACGGCCCACACCAGCTGCCCTCAAGGAGGGCAAGGGGTGTGGCAGAAATCACAGCCAATCAGGCGAGGGTGGGCGGGACAAGCAGTTTCGCTTATGCCGAGGAAAGTAGGTTTCCCACCCCCCCGTCCCTTGAGAGCAAGGGCAACGGAGATGAACCAAGTCAGTGACTGCAAGACAGCTCTGACATGTTCCAAAGAAATGAACGCGCACTCGGTTTTATAAAGAATATAAAACCGTCGACAAGTTGGGAGGATAAATAAAGATTTCATCCCTCCGGTTCCCTACGGGACCAAAATCTTATTTATCCATGTCGAACGTTCGCGAGGCGGGGAACACCCGAGCGGAAAGGGCGAAGCCCATAAAGCACAACAGAGAAAGACAGTCCTTCGTTTTACTCGAAAGGGCTAAGGGGTTCGGTTGAAACTGTCAGCATGTGAACCGATGTACGGCCCACACCAGCTGCCCTCAAGGAGCCCCAATAGCAAGCAGCTAGAAGGGCCAGCATGAAGCTAGGGAGTCGCGGCGAACCCCTCTTGCCGTCAAGTGTTCGAAGGACTCTCTGCTAGGGTCGTCTGCAGGGTTACTATGAGTTGGCACACGGCCAAACCATGGCCTGCAGAGCGCTGAGTCTTCCAGCTTCAAGCAGTCTTCCAAGATCAAACCTCCCTTCAGGGTGGAGGATCTGGCAGCTACTAAGGCTCCACGGGCGGCTTCGTTATCCAAGTAGCAAACACAGAAACTATCATGGATGCACTCCTGCCAGATTGACAGGGCCGCCCACACTCCAAGCAGCTCGATTTCATAGATTGGATGTTCTGACTGTTCGTGCAACCTTTCAATCGCAGCACGGTCAAGCACGATCGAAAAGAAGCCAAGCGGTACGCCTTGATCATCGTGCAAAATGCCTCCGATGCAAGCGGTGTGGTTCTCAAGGCTGCCGTCAGTGAAAATGTAAAACGTCTTGTGGAGACTACGAGAAATCTTTAAAGGCGGGGCTGTAAGGGCCACATCTTTCAAGTAAGTGAGCGCTTCCTTCATGTCGTCAGAGAGTCTGCCGTGAGTGGCTCCTCGATTCACCCAATCGGAAACCACGTTAAGGGCCTGAGACGAGCGGCGCCCAAACAAAAAGGATGTGAACCAATGCAATCTGCCCCTCAGACTTTCGGCCTCGCTATGCGAAAGGCAGTCGGCGGCTAGGATGGCTTCTATCGTGGCTTTCAACTCCTCACGTCGTTCAGGAGTGTGGCCGATAGTGACCTCCCCCTCGCCGAACCGGCTGAGATCGAACAAGAGTCCGAGAGCCTTAAAGATTTCGGTGAAAGCAGTAGCTTTCTTTCCTTCGCGGGCGTACAGGACAGACATGAGATCGAAGAAATCGGCAGCAACTTCGTCTGCCGATTCAGCACAGTCGTCCTTCGCAAACATCGGGTAATCATCGAAATAATTAGTCCAGGCTAAACCTAACCCCTTGCCACCGAAAAAGCCAAAAGGCTGCAGCGCATCGAAGGAAGGAAGGTACTGACCCAGTGGCTCCAAATGGAAGAGCGTTGACTCCGTAAAATCTAGTGCGGTTCTGCTGCAGGTCCTTCACTCCTATCCTGAGGACGTCGCGGTCGGATCGATGGACAGCGTATTGCTTGTAGGCTGCCGTCAAGTCGAGCGTGCGTCCACGGATCTTGCACCCGTGCGATCTTGGATCACGCATTGCAAGCAGCAGGAAAGCAGCTATGAACTCGACCCCGTGCAGCCGGTATTTCTCCGGGACACCAGTGGTGAGATTGAAAGAGCAGGACTTGCAGTTGTCGATGACTCTGGTCTTCGGACCCTGCTTTAGGCCGAAGCGATGCGCTACAAGAACTTTGTCAAGCTGCGGATCGGTATCTTCGAAAATCCAACCTTTCTGAGCTTCTTCCAGCGTTTCCAACCAAGCCTTCTCGGAGACCTCGTCGCTAGGCTGTTTGTCAAGCTTCGCAATGGTGGCTTCATTGCGGCCCTTTGCAGTCTTCAGCTGTGCGGCGATGGTCGAGGATGGAGGCTTAGGGTCGAGGGGGAAAAGCCCGGTCCTACAAACCCAACCCGACAATCTAAAACCCTGGGTCATGTGCTTGACCAGACGGCGGTCTGGGAAATCCAACTCCTGCAGCAGTGTGTCAAGAAGAACGGTCGCCTTATCTCCCAGGACTTCCCTGACGTGAGGGTCCCATTTCTCTCTCTCTGTCTCCTGCTGCTGATGAAGTTGACTTTTGAGGTCGGACCACCGACGAAGTTCGCCTTTGCCTTTGAGTGGATTCGCAACTTGCCCATCCAGAAGGTTATCGATGATCAAAAGCATGTGCGGATCAGGCTCGGAGTCCAGCAAAGCTTTAGGGTGGCCTGCTAGAACGGCCTTGGCCAGGAAGTCGTCAGGCTCGCGAGGTATCCCTAGCCAAATGACCTCGATGCAGTCATCCCTTCTCAAGTTGTAAGGCACGCAAGTACCGCACACGTCCATCATGATCTCATTCCCTGACTGCGACGTGGTAGGAACATGATTCGTGGCCCACGTCCAGGAGCAGTGCAATCCTGAGGCGAGTTTGCATTGGTCGGTTGACGGAATCGCGCAAACCCTAATGCAACCCCAAACGGAAAGTTTGCGCCTAACGATGCGTGCACCTTTGGGGTAGCAGCTGAGGAGATTGCCGACTTCGGCATGCAAAGGCACCGCCCAAGCATCATAGGAGCGAAACTCGCTCACTAGAGGTCGGGCCTTTCTCGACTGCTTGCCAAGTGCAGGTCTAAGGGCTATACCAGGAGGCCCAAAAAGCGAAGGATTACGCGAGGGCTTACTAGAGTCATTACTAAAGAGCTCAACAGCTCGAAGCCACAGCAGCGAGGGCCACGTCGAAGCTGTGGGCGGCTGTGAGAAATGACGATGGTCCTTAGAGCACAATGCCGAAAGAGCCACAAAAAGCGGGGTGGTTGCCCACCAGTGCGCTCGTCGGTCCTGCGAACCACCATGCATGCATTGGTCGAACGTAGTCCAATGGCCTTGAGCAGACTCCCAGAAATCAAGCATGCGAGGGTGATCCCAGAATTGCGAGGTCGCGGGGTGTAGCACTGCGACCGGCACCTGAAGAGAAATGCAATGATGTAGAACGACGAGAACGCTGCGAAGCAACAAGTCGGCGAACTCGGGAGAACCGCGTTCGGCAGAAAAGAAGGCTCCCAGCAGAGGTATCGTGAACTGGACTACGATCAAGCTGCTTGCATGCTCGGAGATCAAGTCCAGCAGAATCTGTCGTTCGTCGTCCTTGGTTGGGTTCAAGGGTTGAATCGGGTACTGAGCACGTTTAGGGTTTATGTCAAATGCCAAGGCTTGATAGCCCGCTTTCTGAGCAGCTTTGCTGAAGCCTGCATCGCCCGCGAACACATCAAGCACAATGCCGGATGGTGTAGCGTGGTCGGCCGATGTAGTGTGGGACATGTGAGGCAGAGCTTTGGCATAGTTAGCGGGCTGAAGCTTGGGCAACTTGAAACCTAACTGTCTCAAAAGTTCAATATCGGGCTCACTCAAGTTGGGCAAGCGAGACACCGTGAAAGCAACCAGCACAAGTCTAGGACCGTCCATCCAGTCAAGGGTTTCATGCTCTTCGAAGGCATCGAAGAGAACTGGCCCATCCGACACTGGCAGGTCAGAGGACTTGCCGTTCGAGTGTACCCTGATGCCACCTCCTTTGAACATGCAAAGGGGGGCAACGCCGTTCAAAGATCCTGGCATGTTTCTGGAGTCTTTATGACGGCGGGTTTTGACATTGAGAAACAGTCCCACGGAGCTGAAAGTGTGCTGCGGAAACAGACGCTGTGCCAAGTTTGCCAGCAGGCAAGAGGCCGCTGGAAAAGACCGGACAGTGGTCCGCAGGCCAGACATGGGCCCATAGCAATATGCCCCAGTTGTGAAGGATCGTTCCTCCACGGTGCTATGGTCGGACCGCGCCTGCACTTCAGTTGGAAGTAGGCGGGATAGCTTCAGCAGATGGTCTTCGTTACAGGAACCCTTTGTCAAGCATTCGTAAGCGAGCTGTTCTCCCGCGGAATCGCCGCAGGCACAAGCCTCGTTCAAGACATTATGCAAGAATGTAAAGTTCATCTTTGAATCAACTGTGCCACGAGAAGGAGTATTCACGTCGTGACTGGCATCGGATTTGGAAAGGAGAGAATCGGTGATACTGGGTCCGCCAGGAGGGCAGGACTGACGATTTCTGAAATCAGCTTCGAATTCGGCACTTGCATTTTCTCGACCTCGCGAACGTTCACGACTCCCATCAAGGAAGCTGCGCGAGGATGAGTGTCCTAGTCACTCTTTCGGGGGGGCATCAGACTTCGCCTTCCCCTTCTTCCCGCGGCCTTTGCCTTTTGTGCCCCCCTGTGCGAACCAGCAACTGGAAGTACCGTGACCCAGGCGCCTGCAGGTCATGCAACCATGAACCCCTCGATTACAGGTCGGAGGGTTCCCTTTGCACTCTGCATTACAGCCCTTGGCCAAGTTGAAAGACCAGCAATAACGACGGCCGGCTGCATCCGTATGGTGGGGACACGACTTCAACTCCTCAGGGAGGTTGTCAACCCTTACAGGGGCTTTCAGCCTCTCGTCACGCCTCTTCTGCCGCTTAGAAGCGCCTGCCGATGCACCTGCAGCTGATTCAAGGGGCGGCTGAGGAGGCGGTGCGACACTGGCGGTTGCTTTCTGCAACGGTTGCAGATACGATGTGATCCTGGGATCGTGCCTGAACAGCTTCATCTTTTCATCCATCTCCATGACTCCAGTGCTAGTAGGCTTCACTCGGTTCACTTCTTTTGCGAGCAACAGAAACATCTCAGAGTCAGCACGCAACATCTGCTGGATCGAGATAGGAGCGTACCCTGGTGGGACATCCGATGACAGTGCTCGCAGGAGAGTCGAAACCCACCGATCATGAGTTTCATAGCTCATGAAACCGCACATGAAGAATGCAATCCCTCTGCGTTGAAGGCACCATTGTACTTCTAGAGGGGTTGCATGATCAGCGACAAGCTTGTCTGGGGCCGGAGCAAGTGTCACACCGTGTTCCTGGACTGTGAGGAATTTTTGGTTATCCCTCAACCCCAGTTTCAGCTCGGCATCCCTCTTGGTACACTTCGACGGCGGAACCCAGACGACTGAGTTTGCTTCACCCATGTGTGCGATCACATCCAAGAGGGCATGACTGGGCTCGAGTTCGTCCTCTATTACAAGTCCTGGAAGGCGCCGCTTCGCCTCTGCAAGTCGAGCCGCTTTCTCGGCCACTGGTAAACGTTTGGAAGCGTCACCAGCATCACCTTCAACCATGGTTCGAAGTGCAGCAACCACTAGCGTTGAGGATTCGAAATGAAGCCTCTTAAGGGCGCTGACTTGGCCGATGCTTGCATGCCCCTTCACGACAGTGTTTGCGAAGGAGGCGAACTCTACGTCTGTCGGCTGGGCCCTCGGAGTTCCGCAGCTGAAAGCGAGGATCGAATGTGTCTTGACCCCTGCATCGACCAGCAGATCGTAAAGTTCTGAGCTTCCGCAGACCTCAAGGCAACGCGCCTTGAATGAGGCCTCGCTATCAACTAAGGACATGGCACTCAGGAAGCTTGGACCTACAAGGTTCAGACCTACAAAGACCGCTTCAACGAGGGCATGGAGCACACTCATGAACATGGACATGTGACATGTGGAAAATCTTCAGATAGGCCCTTTGGACCTCGCAAGCCCTCATGAAACATGAGTGTCCTACCTGATCCTGCGAACAGCACCTCAAAACGCGGAGCACTCCAAGGTGTATGCTAACTCATATGCAAACACCATACGCTCTCAAAGACTTCAAATCAGCATGAACAAAGCGGCTCACTTGTTTCTTCGAGGCTGCCAACGTCACTCTAATCTAGCAGGTTTGCAGTGGCACGTCGGCATTGTTTGCAAACTGGTGTGTCATAACGAAGGGAGCCAGGTGGCCCAAACGGATTCTGCTCCTGTTGGAGGGACCTTCCGCACAACGTGAAAGCCCTGTGTCCATCTAACAGCAAGTGCAGGGTCTTAAGCTTCGAATGTTGCACAAAGTATGTCCCCGCAGGTGGTGCAGGAGGATGCAGGAGGCGAGGAACCGGCCTCGCCACCGAGCTGGAATCATCAGACGACTCTTCGGAAGATTCTTCTGACGAAGTGTCACCAGCTGCGGATGTGCCATCATCGGGGTCGACCTCATCAATGCTAGCGCAAGCTGAATGCCCAGCACTCTCCTCCGATGGTGGCAAACTGGACTGAACGCTGATTGGACTGTCAGTTACGAACGCCTCGCCTACACCTTCAGATTTCACTGGAGTCGCAGGCTCTCCGACTGAGAACTGTGGCTCGGTTTCAACGGCACCCTCAAACATGTGCGGCGACTCCGGCAGGCCCTCACCCGCTGTTGGGGAGGTCAAGAACTTGCTTTGCACACTAAGGAGGGGCGAATGTCCACCGCTTGTAACCGAGGGTGAGCACTCGGATCGCTGACCTTGCACCGCCCCAAAAGGGGGCACCTGAGACTCCTCGGGAACCTCAGCACACAGGTCTGCCTCGTTGGTCCGTCCTGGGAAGCGAGCGGCACGACCAGCATCGGGGACGAACGATCCGCCCCGTATCTCGGAAATCATCCCTGCCAGAAGCCTCAAAGGCCTAGCCAGTGCATCCCTGGCGTAGACATCCGACATCCGAGCACTATGACTGTGACCTCCTAGTGCAAGCCGATCTAGGTGAGGTATGCCGCGCTTTGCAGCGAATGACAGCAACGAAGATTTCAAGCTGTGTGATGTTGTTCTCATTCCTTCACGAGAAGGAAGAAGCTCGCGCAACCATGCTCCCGCCTCCGAAGAACTAAGGGCTCGAACGGTAGGGAGTCCCTGCTTGTTCGGAGCCGGCATAGTCGGGAAGCCGTCCTCGTACGAGCACCCGAGGAGCTTCCTGACAGATACGAATGTTGCTAGCCAATCGGACCCGTCGAGCCCTCTCCCAACTGCGACGAGCTCCATCGACCGAGGGGCCCTCGAGGCAAAGTGCATCGTTTTATGTATGTCAATTACAGCGGAGCCGAATTCAGTGAACAGTGTCTCACCCGCTTCTAACACCAACATGTCAATGTGCTGCGCGTCGGACCATCTGCATCTCGCGTAGACGCAATAAAGTGCTGAGCCGGCCATCAGTCGGTCCCAAAGCGAACCTTCCTCGTCCGACAAGACACGATGTAATTCGACAAGGTCTGCTACTCTCATCGGGTCGGCCCTAGACACAAGAGATGCTTTCTTTGCAGTTGAGAGGCCCCAACAACGCTTGCTGCGTGCACAGCTCTGAAGACATTCTACGTCAAACACAAACCGTACGAAGGTAACAGCTTCCATTATGCTTTGAAGTTCCGAGAGCGATGCGCCACCCGACTTGCCTCTCCGCAGCAGCTGGTAAAGGTCTGGCTCTGAAGTGGGCATCTGGAACCCTTCGCTGGCAACGTACTTGTTAAGGCGTAGCATGCTGTTCGCCCTCTTTAAGCAGGTGCTCGGGGCCTTCTTTGCTAAGTAATCCGACAAAAGCTCATGACAGGCATCTGTTGATTCGCACTTCAAGAGTTGATCTGCAACATTGGTTCGTGATACGTCCCAGGCTTCAAACACCAGGCACCACTTTGACAACGCACGAATGAGGTCTGCTTCGCGCTGGTCCCTCCAAGAGATTACACGCATGTTGACAACTACCTTTTCGAAGATGCAAGGTGCAAGCCTACGGGCTCTCTTGGATCCACTTGACCCCGGCACTGAGTCCTGCGGAGCAATCGTTCCTGCTGGCTGTTCGAAGCGATGAAACGAAGGCACTTTCACAAGCGGAGCTTTAGGGCCGAAGACATCTGCCCAGAAACCTTCCTGCCAAAAGAATTTCGGCACCTGTTGTTCTAGGGACTGGAATGATGATTGCAAAATGCACTCATACCCTGCACGATTGTACGGCTCACCTGACGGCGCAGCCTGTGACGAAAGACTAGGAACCTGGACGACCCGGTCACCGGCAGCTGGCTCCCTGTCTGGGTTGCTCTGAGTCTCAGGTTCAGCACATGCCTCGCTAGGCTCGTGTGTGTGGTCGCACGACACATGATCTTTACTGTATTGCTCAAGAAGCCACGAATCCCAATCGGACACGTCAGGTGATCCCTCGGACAATGCACGACCCTCGGCATGGTCGTCAAGCAGACTGAAAGGATTAGACATGTCACCGGACTCGTCATCTACGGTAGCACTAGCCGCAGGCAAGCTGGGCTCGGACATTTCCATGGCATCCACCAGAGGGTGGATCTAACCCGCCCGCCCGACGGCTAACAACTACGGCACCCACCCCCCAGCACAAGCAGTTTCGCTTATGCCGAGGAAAGTAGGTTTCCCACCCCCCCGTCCCTTGAGAGCAAGGGCAACGGAGATGAACCAAGTCAGTGACTGCAAGACAGCTCTGACATGTTCCAAAGAAATGAACGCGCACTCGGTTTTATAAAGAATATAAAACCGTCGACAAGTTGGGAGGATAAATAAAGATTTCATCCCTCCGGTTCCCTACGGGACCAAAATCATCTACCACTTCAATCTTCGCAGCCGACAGAAGCAGACACTCTGGCTGCACACCGTATCAGTGACCTGGAAGCACGACTTTCAACAGCACTGGAGACAATCGAAGCTCTCCGTGCTCCGGATGCAAACACTGAGGCACCCAGCACACCAGCACCAAAGAAACCAAAACGAGCCACAGCACCTAGCACTCCTACCAACACGCCCTCTCCACCACCTGACTCAATTTCCACAATTGAGATTTCCCCCACCACAACCACTCGTGGACAGAAACGAGCTACCATAGATGACGCTACACACAACGACACCAGACTTACCACTGGTAGCCTCTCCCCTTCCACAACAACAGTTGCAGAACAAGATACCAACGCGTTACATGCTTCCCCAGCATCGTCATCCACCACAGGTATGCATTTTCCGGGACGCTCCCTTCTGGGCGCCAAGCGACAGAAGCAGTCAACTCTCACACCAACGAAGGCGGCACCCCTCGATCCCAAGATGGATCCCCAGCGCATCTTTCAGCAGCCTACAAAAGCCAGTGTTTGGTTTCAGGATCATTTCACTGGTGTTCACTCTGAATCCGGCATCACCAGATGGTTTGGTGCCATCAAAGGCATCAGCGACAAACAAAAAACACAGGTAAAAAAGTACCTTGACATTGTTGCTTCGGAATTTCCTTCACTCAGCAACTCACAAGAACAGACACTGCAGACCGCTGCAGTCGCCTGGGGTGTCCCGCCCAAAGCCATCGACAAATTTGGCTCCCCAGCACTGATCAAACTTGTCGCTATCATCAGTCAGATGACAGAGTGACTCAGGCAGTACCTGATTCAACACCGGCAGACACTGGATCACACAACAATTTTCCGACAAAAGCAATTCAAGAACATCATACGCATTCTGGATCAAGGCAGATCCATCTTACAATTTGTCGCACCATTGGCAGAACCAGTCTCTACACAATTCCACCAAATCATACTTTGGCTTCAAGGCCTGACCTTGTTACTTCGTACACAGCATTTCTACCTCAAACATGAGGAAGGACATTTCTCCAACCTACAGAGACTATTAGCACATTCAAACATTTCTTTTCCATCGTACACACTCTCTTTCTTTCGTCAGCCACAGGTGGTATATTGCAGAGTCACCACACAACAACCTTTTCGTGGCTACGTCTACATCGGCAGCACCAGTCACTCTCTCACACAACGAGAGGGCACACGCAATCGAAAATTCAAGCAACTTCAACAACACAAGATTGTACAAGCCGAACTTGCCTTACGATGGTGGCTTAAACACAAATGCTACCACCAATATACACCAATTTTACTACAAGCCAACATACCCACAGAGCAACTGGAAGCCACGGAGAACACTCTTATACAGCACCACCAATCCAAGCTCAACTTTCCCTACATTACATCACACATGAAAGGAGCTTTCTCCGGCTTCACCAAAGCAGCCAACAACAAGCACAACGGCACAGCCACCTTATGGGCGAAGCAGCGCCGAGGCAAACTACACCACTCCATTCGAAGCTTCAGCAATTCCCCCTTATTCAAAACCAGGAAACAGGCATGGACCACTGTCTCACATCTTACTTCCAACACTCGCACCAGATTCGACACAACAAAACAACTGCTTTGCTCCGACACACCAGCAGCCACCGTTTATGCTTTACACAAACTCTCAAACAACTTACCACGACGCGACCGCAGACACGCTCACAAAGCTCTCAACACCGTTTTAAGAAGCGGCGACTAAAACCACCTCCTATCACAAAACCCATTTACCTACAGCCACTCTTACACCCCACCTTCACCCAACACCTACGACAATATTTGCGCTCTCGTTTAACAAGCAACAAACAACACATTCCACCATTCCACCTACCCAGCACGAAACCGGTCTACAAGAAGCACCCACCTATGCAACAACTCCTACACAATTGGCGCGATGCCCACACCACATGGCAACCTGATACACCACCACCCTGTACATGCTCACCATTACAGTCACAAGTACCCCAGGAACACATTTTCCACAATCACATTGCTATCCAACTTGCAGAACTACAACCACAACACCAGTTTTTGGCATACTCCGGCAAAAGCAATTGCCTTCAGAAGCCCACACAGTTGGCGTCACAATTATGCCGAGCCATACGCACATGGCACCGACACTATGGACTACCTTACAACCATCAAACTGCAAAGCAGTTTGTATCAGAACAAATACCACAACACAATACACACTGCATTCAAAACAACATACTACAGGTCAAGATGATCAAGCAAGTCCAACACAAAATACCAACGGGCATCATCCATTGCGAAGATCACTTCCCGAACCGACTCACGTGGTACTGCCCAGCACTATACCACACTGCCATACACAACACTTTTTTAGACAAAGAGATTTTTCGGATGTCGCAGCGCCAACCTCTACAACACCACTTCGATGTCTACACAGACATCCGCAGTCTTCTACCAGCATACACATGGGCGTTTCCACAGTGGGGACGCATCCCACGTGCCTACATTTTACCGAAAAGAAAGAAGCAATTCACAAAAGGACGTCCTATAGTGGCGTTCATCGACACCATGGGCAGGAAATTATGGGAAGCCTTAGCAGACGTACTGCAGCTGATGACCCTTCAAGCATGCCCAAACTCCTTTCACCAAGGAGATGGGATAACCCAGCTCAAACAAACAGCGCTCTTTTTGCATCAGCGCAGAAAACTACACGATTCAACAGATTACATCCTGTACAATCAGGATTTAGCTGGATTCTTTACATCGGTCGATCAAAGCCGGTTTCTTTCAGCATACAGCATCATGGTTCGATGGTACAGAGAGAAGAACCCACTGCACTCTTCCAAATTCTTCATTGACCACTCACAGAAAGACCCCACACATCGAGTTCACAGAGGTAAAAGCAAACAAAAGCAGCAGGAAGCCTCCTCCGGCAACAAACTTTGCATACAATTACAACACATACCACAACTCATCATTGCAGTGCTCAGGCTCAACTATTTCACTGTCGGTACATCACTCATTGAGCAATTTCGTGGAGCACCTATGGGCTCGCCCTGCAGCCCAGCTTTATGCAACATCGTTGTTGCTGTAGAAGAGCAGTGTTGGCACCACACATACAAGCAACTTTTCACGAACCACAAGCATTTTCCAGACCACAACAAGCAGGATCAAGCTTACTTTTTTGCTACCAGATACGTCGACAACCGCGTCCTTCTATTGCCTGCACAGCTGACCCGACTGCCTCCTTTTGCACAGCTTACTGACGCATCTTTCTACAAACCACCGGTTCAGCTTGAAACTGAACCGGCCAACATTGTCCTGGGTTTCGCCATAAACCCTCAGCACAGCAGCCTTACGCATCACTGCACTTTACACAAGGCGGATATTTTACACCCACAGTCGGCGACCTCTGTTGCAACACTTCGTAGCAGCTTTCAGGCCCGCACACGCATGGTACGCAGAGTGACAACACCATGCAGCGAGGCCACATCAGCCATTCGAGCCATGCGCGATCTGTACATCGCTGCCGGCTATACTGATCGACAGCTGTAAGCAAAAACACTGTGCCAAATTGCAGTGCGTGCGTTCAGAGCCATGCAACTTTGCAACATGTGAGACGCCTTGTACCAATACAGTGTTTCCCGCAGCCATTTACAGGGACTAACTGAGGCATCATCATGTATAAAAGTGCCATGACTGGCAGATTGCAGCCGAGTCACAAAGCGCTGAGCGGCCGTCCTCGGCCATCCATCTCCAAGCATAGCAGACGCCGCAACGAGCAGCCTGCGGTTGGCAGCCACACTCAACAGCCGGCGCCTTTACGCTCTCAGTTCCTACGTGTCGCAGAAGACGAAGATTTCCAAGATTACCAAGAGCAATACCAAGATCCGCAAGAACAGCAGGACGCAGCAGTGGCTGCACCGGCGACTCCACCATTTCCACCTCCGCCGCATTCTGGTCCGGATTCATCGGCTGAGATTATTGAGTTACTAACACAGTTTCACAATTCGTTGCTTGAATCCAATGCCAAGCTGGAACGCTTGATACAGCAGGCCACAACGGTGTTGACTACTCAACACGAAGCCACCACTGCCATTATGGCATCATGCAAACAGCAACTTGATATTCTCGAGAGCCTTATGAGGCAAAACACACCAGACTGGTCCTGAATGTGCTGCTGAATCCGCTGGTATAAAAAGAGCCAGGTAGTGCACACCTCTTGCATTTGACCTTTTGTTGCTGCAGATACGCACCATAACTTCGCCTTCTGAAGTTTTATGCCTCAGAGTGACACCTATTCGAATCCCGACATAGAGCCATGAGCGAAGCATCTTTTCCGACAAACACAGCGACTACAGCTTCGCCACCCATCGATGAGGCACGACGTGAAGCTCTCTCCGAGGCCATCATGGAGATTTTGACACAGCATCGGGACTATGATTCAGAAACTGGAAGCGAACCTTCCACATTCAGTGACGGGGCTCTACGCGACCAATTAGCCGAGTTTATTCTTCAAACAACTCGGCAGATCACAGAGCTAAAGCAACGAGTGGAACGACTCGAAGCTTCGCAACAATAGGTGATCAACCATGCTCATACCGTCATCGGGCACATTGCAGCGGACGGTGAAAACAATGATTGTCGTTTTCGCCAAGTGTTACAGTCAGCGCACTCACT